TGAAATATTCATTTACCGGATGTTTACCATGTAGTATAAAATATATAATATCATCACTAGCTACAACTTCATTGTTAATACTTATCCATCTTATTAAATGTCGTCTGATATCAATAGATGATGTAGCACCACCATCTGTATCTATCAATGTACTTGTATTTAATGAAATTATTTCATTTTCAGGTAAATCATTGGAATCAATATAATTATTAATATAAACAGAATGCTCAGCATTTTGACTTTCAGATTCATCAACTAATGATAGAGTATTCCATAAGCAATCAGTTATGTCATTTATCGGTAATGTATCAATTAACAAATGATCAATATGTATATATTTATATAAAATATTATTCTTACATAACCATATAAGCGCTTTTCGAATTATTTCTCAACGTACTGTAAGAATTGAACGTAGTTGATCTTTCTTTGGTAGTGATTTTCCCACAAAGATCATTTTAATAAATTGTGACAATTCATCTAATGCTAATGGAAGAGATCTTGCAATCTCTGATACATTTTGAGGGAATGTTATAACATTGTCTTTTAATGCTATCTGTGCTAAAGAAGGATCACATGTAATAGAAAATAATTTAATCACACAACTTGAATGACGATACTATAAAGTATAGAAATATAGTCTACTATATATATAGATAAAGAACATTTACTAAAGCAATCAATTTTTGTTCTGATAACGTAAGTTCTTGTAGCTCTTGAGGCACATCATCAACCTACATTGAATTATTTAATGCAAAAGCTGGCATTTTATTTGATATTAAATATTTATAACACTTGTTGCATATAATTCCGCATCCTGTTTCTAAATTAATGGCCTTTCGGTAAAGTAACATTCTATTAATAATTACACTACTATCTTTCGCATGTATAAGAGAATTTCGAACTTGTTCTGTTTGGTAGTATAATAAATGAACTCATTTTTCATCTATTCGATTTAAAGTTAGAAAACTATATAACCTGATATTTTAACACATTCACTATTTGAATCAATATCAATATTTAATCGAATAACGCAAGAAGGCATTTTATGAACTGGATGTAATAAATGCTGATTCGAAATTTTCCCAATATTGATTTCTCGACTTTCTAATTTGTAATTAAGGCACGCACATATCATGCATACAATTCGATCTACTACATTATTGGATAGAGCTTCTTTAAATCCACCAAGACATTGATGTTTTATCTTAGTTGTCGCTATTTTTGGCCATATTTGTTCGGAAGGTATTTATATTTCCATTTTACGTCTACTATCGAATGATTTATATAAATTAAAATAGAAAATATTTTTATAATTCTTACGATTGATCATGATTTCTTTTATGTAATTTTAGAGCTATTTTTTCATTTTCAGTTTCAATTTGGCATCGCTTAAGCGATCTCATTGATTTGTACTCATTGTTGAGTTGTAAACGTTGTATATGTTCTTCAAGAGTTTCTAATCGATCTTTAATTAATCTTGTATTCACCTTTAATTCAGCTTGTTTTTCTACTCTTATTAACCAATTACGTTCAGTTTCTACTAAATTTCGATTACATCGTTGAACTGACATAGTCAATGTTTCGTGATTCGAGTTATTCTGAAATTTTGCTTCTCGTTCAACCAAACTTCGAACTCGTCGAACGATATTTTGATGTTTTTTTTCCATAATCTGATCCAATGTTAGCCATTTTTTCATTTACCTATATACAAATACGATCATTATTTTTGTATTTTTTATTTCAATAAATTGAAAAATCAATTCCTACTAGCAACTCTCGACTACACCAATCAGAAAGTCTATAAAACACTTCATAATACAATGTCGTTTTACGTTGTTCTTGTCTTTCTTCTAAGCTTCGAACCTTTCGTAATTTATTCTTTTGTCTTGATTGATTATCCAGTTTGTCTACAGTTTTTTCCCGAACTTCATTCATTTCTTTATTACCTGTTTCATTTTTGTTATTATCAGTATTATTTTCAAAAGATCTACAATGCTCTGTTATTGATGTTAGTCGACTACGCTTTTTTCTTTGTGCAGTTCTTGCATCACTTTCTCTATCCAACCGTATTAAGCGTGATACTTCACTTTCCTTTGCATTTCGTTGAGCATGCTATGCTGCAACTCTATTACTACTTGTTTTTGTTATCAAGTGAGGTGCTGAACAATCAGTTGCATCAATTACCTGCTTGTTCTTCATAATAAATATATTTTTCACATTTCGAGTATTTTTATCTGGAACGTATTATTTTGAATATCTACAAAAAAATATATTTGTTATTAATGAATTTTAAAATAGAAATCGATTCAATTCTGTCATTAGCTGATAGGATATTCTCCTCATAGGTTTCGACAAATTATTTACTTATGATGTACTAAAGGATGATGTGTGGAAATACCGATAAGTATTTCCACTACATATCAAAATTGATCCCACTCTCATAATAAAAGATTTCTTAATATACACATTCATTGCCAATTATTTTCATTGCTGTTTTTAATTTATTCTGAAATTATACATAAATATTAATTGAATCGACGTGGTCATTATTTATAAAAAAAAATCATCTTTCGTTTTGTTTCACATTGTTAGCTATAGTTTCTATGACTGCTAATCAATGAAAAACTTATACAATTAAAATAAAGATTAGTAAAATTTTTATAGTTTAATTGGTTATTAGTAGATAAGAACAGTTTCACTACTCTTATTTCTTATTCTATCATATAATAATTAATATACATGAGCTTAAAAATACATCTATGCATAAATGTATGCTTATTTATTTAAAATTACATGCTTTTTGCGAATTTGACACATGTTTAACATATATTCATTACAATCATTGTTGGTTGATAAACTAGAAATAACATATCGATTGACCCTTACATTGTCAAACAGCTAACATTCATTAATACAATCTTTTTGTAAGTCGTATTTGTTTTTATACTATTTCTAATCATATGGCGAGATTAGTCTAATATTTATCATAGTCACTTTAAATAATTTACTCATTACAATAATTAACAATAAACATTCACGCATTACATCGGTAGATATACAGTGTATGATTTATCGTACAGCCACTGACAATATTAAGAAGATCAAAGTATTGGCAAACATGTTGGTACTTCAGATTCTCCGACATCGCAATATCATCAAAATAATATCACTCATTTCAGAATATAAAACCGCCTGATATTTATTTTTAGAAAATTCCTTTTCTGATTCAACATTATTGAACAGACTGAATTTTCATAAATGTATGCATTCATATAAATTTTGTTCGTCAACATAAAACTGTAATTCAAAATGTTTAATGCGACATTAGATATCTCTATAATTACACATTAATTGATTTTAGAATTGTATTATTTATATGCACTATAACAAGACAATTAAAATGACAAATTT